TTTTGGCATAGTGTTTCATCCTCAGTAGCACATTAATTTCTTATTATAAAATAAGTTATTTTTTAAAAGTGACTTCTAACTGAATAGGAATGAAAAAGTATTAGCAGTTCTATGTTTTGTACACAGAATAAGAATGTTGTAGCACGTAGAAAAATCAGATTTTTTAAATAACTTCAAAATGGATTCAGTCTTTATCACTGTACCAAATAAAATGAGGTCTGAAAAATGTTATTTTTAACCTACAATTGCTTGAGAGAGTTGGGGAATTATTTTCAGCATATTGATAAACAGAGAATTGCATTTCTACAGTGTCTTTTTTTCCCCAGAGGCATAGAAATAAAAAGTTAATTTATATAAGAGAGCAGTTTTTCAGTCACAAACGGATTTTTTGAGTGTCTCCTCTATTGTGGCCAGTTGTTTATGAAGCAGATTATTTCTGGCCTAATTGTAGGCAGAATAGTAAGACCACTAGCTCTGTTAAGGTTGAATTTCATTTGAACTTTGTAATAGTATGATCTGTTTTCAGAATTTAATAACTGACTCAAATATTTAATAGTGGAAGCTTTCATTAAATTAAAAAGAAATCAGGATATATTTTTAGAGGAACTAACTTATTTTCCTTATCAGTTTTATCTACTTTAGGAGAAAAGGAAGAGAATGAAACCAATCTCTTTGTGTACCTAAATAGACATTAATGCTATTACCCAAGAAAATAATTTATTTCAGTATATATCATCATTCAAAAGATTTGGGAAGCGCCAAATGGCAGTAATAACTATACTTTTAGCTCTATTGAATAGCAAATTGCGCTGACTGTGTGAACCTCTTCACTTGTCTGCTGGATAATCATTCATTTTAATACTCAAATGTATTTTCTAGATCAATTTTCAGCTGCACACCACCAACTTTTGCATTGCCTAACCGTTTTCTGTTAAGTACAGTGGCTTGCTTTAAAATGCAAATGGGGAAGGCGAGAGTTGCAAGATTTTGTTTCCATGTGTCATTCTATAAATAGATGACCAAAGATCATTAAGTGGATTAATTTACAGGCATTCTTAGAAACAGAATGTTTTTACATGAAAGCATGTTGTAAACCTTTTTAATTAAATGGCATTGTACCCTGCACTCCCCTCCCCGCAGGGTTCTCTTGACCTCTCACCTCTGATTTTGCCCTACAGGCACTCCGCTGCTGGTGAGGAGAAGCAGTGACCCAGCGCCAAGCCCCCCTGCTGATGCCCAGCCAAGCGCTTCACACCCCAGTGGCCAGAGTCTGAAACCTGTTATGCCAGTAGGTATCCTGCAGTTCGCATTTCTAATGAAAGATCAAAGTGACTTACCCATAAAAACTGACTGAGACCTCGCACTCTTTAAGTAAGTGGATCATCAGAGATCTTTCGCTAGGACATGCAGTATTCGTCATAATGATAACCAGCAGGAGCTATCGCTGGTATACAGTGATAGTCATAGCTGTTATTTATAAAGCTCGAATTACATGCCTAGTGCCATTTAAAGGACTTTACATTAAGTCATCTACACTTCCACGTCAGAGTATGAACGTGTTTCATTGATACCGAAATTGGGGCAGAAAGAAGTTTAGTGATCTAAGGTCACAGCTAGTAAGCGGCCGAGCCAAGAATTTAACCCAGATGGTTTGGCTCCAGAACCTATGCTCTTAACCAGGACACTGAACTGTTGGGTTTCCCTCATCCTCCCGCTTCATAATGCTCCAAGGTATAGTTTATCTATTTTCACTGTGTTAACACAATGCTTTTGTGAAATCATATCATGGTGAATGGCGATAAAGTTTCAAGGTACCGGTGTCATAGACATGTGGTACCAGCACTGGATTTCTAGATCTCAACGTTCAAATAAAGGAAAAGTAAAATTATATAGCAATAAACGTGCTTACAGCTAGATACACCTATAGCTGTCCTACTTGTAACTGAGAAGTTAAGGGGAGAATAGTTTTCTGAGGAGACGATGCCCGTCTTCTGTTTGGGGCTGTGAGGTCCTTCTGCTAAATCCCGAGTCGCTCTGAAGAGTTGTAACTGTGATTCATCCTTTGAAAAAGCCTGAGAGTTACATTTTGGATAATGGCTGGGTATCATTGCGATAGGTGATCTTCGATAACGTAACCATATTTAAAGGTTTCCTAAAAGCAAGTCTCTTCTCGATTTTAAGTCTTACTCCCTATAGTTCCTTCAGGGAAAATAAAACTATAGGTAAATAAAGATACTGAATGAGCTAAATGGATTCTCCCAGTTTAGTATAAAATATTCTCATCAAGAACCAATGCCAATGTGTATGAAGTAGGCATCACCATACGAAATCATGGGGTAGTTACTAATAGGTTTGCAGCACTATTTTGGCATATTTATTTTTGTAAACAAGTAAGTACCTGTCCTGAGTGTATTTTAGGTGGAATGTTTTCTCACTTTCCATCCTTCTAAGGAAACATATTTAATGGAACGTTACTTTAGTAAAAATCAGGTGTGTGTGTTCCACTCTAATGATGAGTACAAACAGAACCGGTGTGTGGTGCATGTTTGTGTGTTTAATGCACACTGATTGAGACCATGTTAAGCCTAACTATATTGGATTGGAGGAAGAGAAGAACTACAAAAATGAGATAATTACATACAAGAGGAAAACACTAATCTACTGCTTATTTTTACGATGTTAATATACCCTAAGACAAAAGTCTTACCTTAACGTGTTATCGTGATTTACATGCGGAAACTCCACCGATATTTCGTTCTGTGTTCCTGCACTTAGGCTCTGTGTTGAGACCAACTGAAGTTCAACTGTGCGTTCAAGTTTATGAATAACAAAGATGCCAATTCAAATTCAAGAAGAAATGCTGACACTCAAAATCCTTTTACCTAACCCTGTGCAAGTTCTCAAATATGGGTTGGGTCCTTTTGTATCAGTAGTAAAAAGGAAAGCAGATTTCCTTCTTCCCTTACAGTGTTCCCTGTGGGTGATGAAGTTCAGACCTGAGACCCAGAGAAGAGAGTCTGGTCCTTGCCTTGTCACTGAATAATGGCACATCCTAGGCTTCTCTTGCCTCAGTTGTAACATTCTCTTCATACAAATTTTAAACACACATTGTGTCTTAGTTATCTTTCTCTCTCTGATCTCAAGTACATAGACGGTGCTCAGTGTATGCATGTTGGACTTAGGAACGCAAGGCTCATATTAGTCTTGAAAAAGCCCTAGAAGTTCTTGGCAATTACCTAAGTTTCCTAACTCAGGTATGACCCCTGTCTGCTCTAAAGAATCTGCTGGGTAAGTGGTCATCTGCTCTAAGGTCTGGTCCAGGCCAGGCAAGAGACAGTTTAACGGCACTACTGTGCAAAGGGTAGGCAAAGTTAGTAAATGAAGACATTTAGTTGTGTCTGTTTTTATCTAGAAGAAAAATACATTTGTGTGTGTGTGTGTGTGTGTGTATTATAACTGTCTTCCCTTATCCCTGCGTATCCTATATTTGATGAGTACACCGGATTACAAAGATTGAAGTATGAAAAAAAAGTGATATAAAGATCTGGTTAATAATTTTGTATTAACTAGGTGTTGAAATTATACTACGGTGAATTGGGTTGAACAAAATATATTTTAGTTATTTTCACCTGTTTCTCTTTACTTTAAAAGAAATGGCTACTAAAATTTTAAAAATTATATCACATTCCATTCCTGTTGGATGGAGCAGCTCTAGACGGACGTGAAATTGTATATAACACTAATGAAATGGTTTGAGAAGAAGTTCTGTGCGTTGCACGTTGTCTCTGGAGTAACAGTGTGATTAGGTCTGCCTGGGGCAGTTTCTAGTTCATACCTGTCGTTCTGGCATGTTTATTAACAGTGTCCCAGCTAACCCTCAGAGGTGTCCCTGTATGGATGATAAATTATAGTCAGTTTACTGTTGGCTCAGCCATAAGAGTAGCGACCTTTCAAGGAAGCCATGAGAACATAACAACTGCAGCTGTGCCTGGGAGCTCACCGCTGAGGGTGTTCTGTGTGGCCAGGGCCTGAGCCCGGGGAGTACAGAACTGGACACTATGGATTCTTCTCCGCTTCTCAGACTCCGTAATTCTGCTTCTGCTTCCTCCCCACACTTGAGCTGCACCGTCCATACTTGATTCTTATGATTTGATAAGTGATGATGAATAGGGAAAGCGTGTGATAATGTATCCATGAAGCAACTGATATGAAAAATAATTGCTTAAAAAGCTCCGTTCAATTGCATTCATTTCAATATCCAAGGAAAAAAAAGCAACAACAAAATTTCCATCTCTTAAGCAGAGTGTTCAGATGTAAGTAATTCACAGATGGCATATCCCCAAGTGGGTTATATTCAGTCATTCCCAAGAAATGAAACTGACTTATAACCCACAACATAAGAAGCTGTAAGGATGAACATTTGACACATTTGATTACGTTGAAATATTGCCTGTAAAACCACAGTTGATGATTGTTATTTTTAGTTGTACTTCATTAGGCTTGCTGTATAGAGGGGAGAGTTTTCTTCGATTTCCAGAGATGTGTTTTTGAACTGTTGGAGAAGTTGCACTTGTTTTCTGGCTGGTTAAGTTATTACCAATTGGTTATTTAAGATGTACACCCTTAGACAAGTTGGAGTTTTTTCTTAAAAAAAAATGAGGTTTTAAATTAGAAAAATCAGATTCTCTGCAAGCTTCTAATTCTGTGTATATTGCAAAACCACCAAATCGCATGTATGTCAGAGTACCACCAGATAAACAGCATGGGAATCTGTTTCCTTTCTTCCTCTTTTCATAAATCCACTTAATCAGAATAGTATAATTATTAATGTGCAGATAATAATGACTATTTATCTTTCAGGGAGTAGAAAATTCAGTTGTACAGACTGCTTTTGAATCAAAGAGAATCCTGGGGGCAAGATATTACAGTGAGAGCTTGATTAAGGGCGGTCTTACCTTCCTTCCCTTGATTGTAGCCTGGTGTTCTTGGCTTAAGGGCATGCCATAAAGCCAGGTTCTTGAAATTGATGTTCCTGAATTTCCGGATGGAAGAGAACTCTAAAACAGATGTGATTTTCCCCCTTAATATCCGGTTAACTACCATGGTTGTTTTGTGTTTTAATGACAGTTTATAGTTTCACATTTAACCCCTAAGGCAAAATGATCCTACAGGGTGAGTAAATTAAAAAGTGGATTCCTGAACATTGTAATGTTGCGGTGGTTCTCTTAAAACCATTACTTGTCTTGGGTCACCAAAATAAATTAAGAAAATACTGGTCTTTTTTTTTTTCAAGTCTATATCTATAATACACACATTTTATTTCAAAAATAAGATGGCAGTCTTTGAAGTTGTTAAATTGGAAGTTCCATGGATGGGTTTCAGAGAGTCTATTAACTATCTGAAGTTTTATGCCATGGTGGGGTGCGAGCGCGCACGTGTGTGTGTGTGTGTGTGTGTGTGTCCTGAAGACATTCTATCACTCTTATCAAATTTCCTTGCATCAGAAGGAATACAAAAGATCAAGAACCACTTGATTTGGGATTTAGGATGAGATATCGTGGGAAAGCCACCAATTATGATGAATGATAGAGATAAAAAAGTTAAGTGGAAATTGCCACTGTCCTCCAAATGTGTATTAAATACTTAAGGTTATTTCATCGTAGTATCACCATTCTTATCCAGCACATATAATGTGAATTCAAGATGTGCAGATGAATAGAAATTTTTAAATTGCTGCATTGAGAGATCAAAAATAATCCTTTAGTCACTAGCAACACCGTTCTTAGCAACAGTAAGATTAGGGGAAAGGGACTCTGACTCTTTTGGGAAGACACCCTGGGCAGAAGTGTTTCCAGTAGTCCTTTGTGTTCAGTGGGAACGAGAAGTGAAAATACAATATCGATGTTTTGGAGTTTTTGGAATTTCATCAGTGAAGATAGTGGCAGGTAGCTTCCAGTGAAAGAAGATATTTCCGGTGAGCAGAATCATTCTCTTTGTGTCTTGCATATATATATTGATTTGAGAATTTTCCCTCAGATGTCACGAATATTGAAGTTATTATAGTCAACATTGCTCCTGGGTTAAATGTTTTCAAATTCATGAAAGAAACCATTGGAATATTACAAAGAAAGTGAAATAGCTTGGCTTTTAGGATTAAAATCATCCAACTGCCACTGACATATCAGAAGACTTTTCGTTGTGGGTTGTTGGCTTGTCAGAATCCAACATAGGAACTTAGCAAAAATTCTGAACGACTGAATCAGATTTTTCTGTCAGATATACAATTAA